GAAACACAATAGTTTAACAGATTTTGTCATGTGAATCTTGTTTTCCACAGCCCTCTCTCAACCACCTTGATGTGCGCTGAAGACCTGTACAGTTGTCGCGACCACGGCAGACCCATCTTGCACAGCACTACCATTGAGCTGCGAGTGAGGCACGAGCTAGCGGCTGCTCTTATGGCTGACCACGATTCTGGGCTCTACTTTCCCAACGACATCTTCGTGGATTTTTACCCGGCTGCTTCTCGAGACTCCTTACAGGTGTGGGAACTTGGTGAATGATAGAGTAGTGTGTATTTGGTTAGATTGTATTGCCATGTGAGTTTTTATAATAGGGGTTAAAGAGTTTTTTTTTTTTTTTTTTTTTAACAATTATTGTAAAATTTTGTGTGGCTTTGAACAGATTGATGGAGGCATTGTGACACCACTAAAGATCGGTGTGTCACGCCAGCAGTATCGACAAGTTATGAAGACTTTGTCCAACTTATCTGTGGAGGCTGATACCCAGTCAACAGATGGACAAACTTTGGGTTAGTTGTGAAGTTTGTCATGGCAATTAAGAGAAGTGGTTTTGTGTACATGTCAACAGAGAAAGGATTATAATTGATAATGAAGTTTATTGTTGTACTTGCATATGTATTTTTTTGAAATGCTATAATTTGTGCTAAATAAAAAATCTAAGGATACTTCTAATGGGTCAGGTTAATGTAATTGTATTTTTTTTATATGCAGATTCTATCCATGAAGAAATGCCAGGGACAGTGACATCGGAATCATATTCACAGAGGAGAGAAAGTGTAAAACGTAGGGAGATTGAAGTCTCATCCATATCAGTGAAAGGCAAGTGAACTATACAATATTTTAATAAGCTGCATTGTCTCATTTACTGGCGATTTGTTAATCATGTGAAATAAAAGGAAGACTTGTGACAGTATGGAAAAGTATCTTTTTTAAAAAGTAACGTCAGGTAGCATTTGTCTTGGAAACAGTTGAAAAAAGATCCATTTGATGAAATTATCAACTCCCTCTTCAGGATCCTTCTCTGTGCCTAGTATGTGTGTTGAGCTGCGTGGCGATGTAGGTGAGAAAGAAAAACCACTTGTCAATTTACTTCTTGAAGAGATAAAAGCCTCATATGAGTCTTGTGAAGCATACAAGACACGGACACAGGTATTTCTTTAAATTTTTATGGTGACATTTAAAAAACTACATCCATTGACATAAATATGTTTCATGAATTTATTTTGGCAAACATGAATTGGTTCATTTTCCCCCCCACAGGTTACCCTTCGCTCACTGATGATGGAAGACCTGCAGCAGCTGGACACGAATGCACAGCACAGGTTCCTCATGAAGTCGGACACGCTGCCAATGCAGTCGCCAGATGGCCCAGCTCCTTACGGGGTGCATCTGCATCCAGGTCACCATCCCCACTTGCATTTCCTGAAGGAGCACCATGTCCCTGAGTTCATATCGACCTCCTGTCCCGAACGCTACCCTCACCACCCAGTCTGCTTCACCTCGTCCTCATTACCTGACAAGCTGAAGATGGAAAAGCCATTTTTCAAGGCAGCTCAGAAGCCTGTACCAAGGAGGCATTTAGAAAGTGAGTTTAGTGCTGAGTCATTATTCAAACTCATCATTTCCAATTGTTAATCTTTATGTATATTGATGACTATACAGCATCATTGTAGTAAACTAAAGTTTCCCATTTTGTAGTTGGGTCAGTCTGGCAGATGCCAGATAACGTAAAATATTTTCATAAGTCAATGAAAAGGGTGAACGGGTGAGACAGGTAGTACTTGTAATTGGCTCATTGGTGACTTAGTACAAGTGTAGCCATCTATGTGCAAAAACAATTAAACAAGTAAACTCACAGTCGGCATGGCATGGATGTACGTGACATGCTCGTTGGCAATGGGTTAGTGAACTTGCATTATGAGAAAAAGAGTAACAGAGTTAGATTTCATACTACTAAAATATTTTCATGAATTTGAAAATAACTCATATCAAAAGAAACATGTTCTATTTACTATCTTCCTGTCTCTTTGGAGAAGGCTTGTCATCACAGAGTCCACGAACAAGCATCAAGCCCGGAGGGAAGGCAACCATGAGCCCTAGTACCCCCCCACCTTCACCTACCCCAGGTGAAGGGGAGGAGGAGACCTTTAGGCCAGACACCACACTCGTCACCATCACCATCTCTACTATTGACAAAAAGTCCCCTGAGTTCCACAGCAAATATGATGGTGTAAGTATGATTTAGTGTTTTGTATTCCTCATAGAAGTCATAGCTGTTTAACCCTTTTTCCTTATAAAAAGGTGAAAAAAGATAGAGGTAAATGGTGGATAACATTCTTGTAGTAAAGAGTAGCTAATCTGAGTTTAGTGCATAATGTGAAACTGTGTTATGTAATTCTATTGGCTATTATTGTAACTAGAAATATGCAGCTCTAGAAAAATTAATGAGGCTATTGAAGGTGAAAGATATGCTTCATATTCATCATTTTTTCTGTTAGTTAAACTTTGAATCATATTACCTTGTATATTTTCCTCTTTTTCCCAGACAAATCGCTTCATTGATGTAGATTTCAACAGCCTGAACACTGTCATCAACATTCCTTCTTGGGTTATGGTGTTAGATTTCTTCAGCACTGATCAAGAGGATGGATCTCCTTCCAAGAGTGATGGAAAAGTCACTCCTGATACTTCGCTGTCATCCTCGCATAAGGGTAAAGTGATATGTGCTTAATTATAGTCTTTTTTGGTTTCATTTTTAATTTTAATGTATTGCATTTTAAATTTTTTTCCCCTTCAGAATAATTTTAATTTTGTCATTAAAGTTAGCTATGACAGATCAAACTTTAATTGCTGTATAACATATTACAGTATTTTAATCTCCCATATTCCCATATAATCTTCTAGGCATGGATGAACTGAACACTATCGTGGAAGTACAGATGCGATCCCTCACCCTAATCTTGAACAAGCCCGAATGTGAGCTAGCCCAGGCAAGCATCTCGCAGGTTCTGGTGCGGTCTGTGGGATCTGAGGGAAATCTGACTCTCACTGGGCGACTAGGGTCCCTCTCTCTGGTGGACTGCACGAGCCACGGCCATCTTTACCGGGAAAAGTTCATCACCACCGGCTCAGAGGCCATGACGTTCCAGGTGTTCAAGTAAGTTCTTCGGGCTCTTGGTTATTTGTGCTGATTTAGAATGCAGAGGGGAAGGAAATGGTGCATACTATTAGGTATTTTATTTTTGTGTTTGAAAATGATTAGAAAGTTATTGGTAGATATTGAGATGAGTGTGTCATGTTCGTAGTGATATTGAATGAAGATAAGATTTATCCTTGTTAATTAAATAGAGTATTGTATTTAACCCAATGTCAGCAGGTTTGTGTACTGTCCCCTTTAGATTTTAGTGAGTTTTGTTATATACAATAGATAAATTTTTATTACAGTGGGCATGGCATTGTAGACTTGCCACCTGCAGGGAATAGCTAATGATTATCATTAGCTATTCTGCATAAATAAATCTTTTGTTTGTTGCATTAATTGTATTGGTATTTTAGAAAAAATAAGTTTGACAAAGATTTTTGAATTATAAAAAGGGAAGCTAGTCAAAGTGTTGTAGAATACAAGTTCCTTTATTCCAACTTCAGAATGACATTTCAAAATTTAATTTAAAATTGAAATTAATTTTTTGCAGGTATGGGCATGATGATCCTGAGATGCTGAGGGAATGTGATATTCGCATGAAACTGAAAATGTCTTCTGTGATGTACCTGCACACACATCGCTTTGCCTCAGAACTTACTCAGTTTGTGCAGGAGTTTAATCAGTTAAGAGATATTGTGTCGAGATGGAGAGCTACTAGTGCTGGATTAAAGGTAATTAAACTCCTTAGCGTTTACCTTTGGTTATGAGTATATACTAAGTAGTAACAGAGGGCTGGAGGTCTGATGGCTGTAAATTAGGATATAGTTGTAGAACTTTGTCAGTTTTTTATAGTTTGATTAGACAGCGGTTATTAGAGTCATATTTGAAATATGACGCAAAAGAAGGTGCTGTGTTAATTTCATACTTCTCTTTTTTATCAATAACAGGTATCAGATTTTAGCAGAGGTTCACGTGTATCACTGGACATCACTGCAGGCTCTCCTGTTATATTCATCCCCATGTCCAGTCGATCAGAGACACTTCTGGTAGCAGAACTAGGAAGCTTGACCATAACCAATAAGTTCCTTTGGGCAGGTTCAAAGGGAACCATAAGTCAGGTGAGTTATTGTATTTTGTAGATAATACCTTTTGAAGGTAATTTTTGTCAAGATTTTAAGTGATACAAACTAATGGATAATGATCTTGACTTTTGGCTTCCTCATCAGGTACAGCGGCAAAGCCTGGAAGAAAAATTTGTGTCTCCTTATCCAAGTGGTGCAGCTGGACGCTCAAGGTAGATGGAAGTTGATGTTTCCATTTTTTTTAAGAGCTGTAAATGATGATTATGGGTTTCATGGATTCTGATTAAAGACAGGAATAGTTTTTGATATTTATATTGAGTTTTATATTCGAGACATTTACAATATATATTAGACATTTACTATATATGTACACACATGAGTCTTCTAAATGCATGTGACCTTTTTTTTATCAATGACATGAGTACTAAGAAGGCATCTAATATTTTCTCCATTGGTCTCGTGATTCAAGGTCCCGGTCCCACAGTAGACACCGGGACCCAAACCTGTCCTACCTCAGTGACTCGGATATGGAGGGTGACCTGAGGCAGCAGAAGCTAGCAGTAAGTGCCTCCCACAAGTGCCTACTGGATGTCATGTACATAGACCTAGTGAACATGGACCTCTACACAAGCACGAGAGCCACACGATCCAAGTACAGCCAGCAAAAAGCACGTTCGAGAGATGAGGCCAAAGCGATGAAGGGGAACGAGAAGGAAGTTGGTGGCAGGGTGACGGAGGACAGCGTCGAGTGGATGTTTAGGGCTTACTCTGTTGTTCGACAAGGGAAGTCGCTGCTTCAGGAGAAGTGTGCGATCAAGCTGCAGGTGGAGAGGAACCTGGACACTGCCATTAGTCATGCAGGTATGTCGGTGATTCTGTGTTGGGGCTTTGGGTTGGGGCTTTAGCTCTAGTGCATTGATGAGAGATGAAAAATGTTAGATGTTTTATAATCTTATATCTATCAATATGTATCTCTCTGTCATTCTGCCTATCTGTCTATCTATCTGTCTGTCTATAGACAGGCAGGCAGACAGGCATACAGACAGACAGACAGACAGACAGACAGACAGACAGACAGACAGACAGACAGACAGACAGACAGACAGACAGACAGATAGACAGATAGACAGATAGACAGACAGACAGATAGACAGATAGACAGATAGATAGATAGACAGATAGACAGATAGACAGATGTACATACATACATACATACATACATACATACATACATACATATATATATATATATATATATATATATATATATATATATATATATATATATATATATATATATACATATATACATATATACATATATACATGCATACATGCATACATGCATACATACATACATACATACATACATATATGCATACATACATACATACATACATACATACATACATACATACATACATACATACATACATACATACATACATACATACATACATACATACATACATACATACATACATACATACATACATACATACATACATACATACATACATACATACATACATACATACATACATACATACATACATACATACATACATACATACATACATACATACATACATACATACATACATACATACATACATACATACATACATACATACATACATACATACATACATACATACATACATACATACATACATACATACATACATACATACATACATACATACATACATACATACATACATACATACATACATACATACATACATACATACATACATACATACATACATACATACATACATACATACATACATACATACATACATACATACATACATACATGCATACATGCATACATGCATACATACATACATACATACATACATATATGCATATATAATATGTTATCTTGATGTTCATTTTAGGCAAAGGATTTTGAGCTAATGATGCATCTTACTCTTTATAGTGCCAGATATGAGTATTCATGGCACAGTCAAAAAGGTCCATGCTACCATCCACACAGCAGAGTACAAGTTTATCCGTGGATTGCTCATGTACAACTTTGGGGAGCCTTTGCCTTCTCCTCCTCCTATATACCTCTATCAAACACAGCCACAACAGGTAAGCATAATTTTGAGGTGCCAGCTTGAGTCCATGACTTTTTTTAAATAAATTAAATACAGTTCCATATGTATCACATATTAAAAGAAATAATTTTGAATTTATAGAAATAGAATAGAATGTGTGTATCATATGTTAACTAAAGTACCATTACTCCTCTAGACCTGGTATGACCTAGGGTCAGTGTGGACCTCCCTCACGATCATTCTCAACTTGGACAACGTTACCCTTGAGTTGGAGAATCTCGAAGAAGAGAACGTGCAAGAGACCAAGCCACTTGCCTGCGTCAATTTCATCAGCTCGAGGCTAACCTTCGAGAGCTTTTCGGATCAGACCAAAGACGTGGATCTAGTGTCGCAGGAAATCCTCATCAGCGACACGAGATTTGAGAGTTAGTTGAGAGTCATAGGTTTCGCCAGTTTGTCTTTGGGATTTTGTTAATTGCAAATGTATTTGGGATCTAATAGCATGGAAAAGGTTCCGGATGAGGGGATATTGGTTAAGAGTCACTTGGTTTTTGCAGATGTTTTTTAGTGTCAGATACTGATACTGAGAGTTGTTTTATCTGTAATGTATTAAATTTTTACTAATGCTTTTATCTGTTGTCATCTGTGTGTGTGTGTGTGTTTAAGTCATAGAGCATATCTTGAAATATTTCTCTTTACTTCATGTTTGTATATAATTGTACAAATATATCTATTTCTTTTTCCTTTTCAGACTTCCCAATGAATAAAAGATCAAATATCTTCACAAACATCTTGCAGCCTACACCTTTAAAAAGTGCCAAAAATGACAGCCAATTGCAGGCTGAAGTTCATTATAGGTAATGAATATTTTGGATTAAGTTGTAGGATGTGTTTCAGTATTGATATTTTTGTATATTACTATATTTTATATGTATAAATTTTTTCTCAATAAACATTTTGAGAATGATTTTTTTTCCTAATTTGCTCCTTATAATATTCATTATTAGCCTTTTTAAATGTTAACCATAGTAAAGATAAGATATTACTAGCCTTTTTAAATGTTGACCACAGTAAAGATAAGCTATTACTAGCCTTTTTAAATGCTAAATATAGTAAAGATAAGATATTACTAGCCTTTTTAAATGTTGACCACAGTAAAGATAAGCTATTACTAGCCTTTTTAAATGTTGACCACAGTAAAGATAAGCTATTACTAGCCTTTTTAAATGTTGACCACAGTAAAGATAAGCTATTACTAGCCTTTTTAAATGTTAACCATAGTAAAGATAAGATATTACTAGCCTTTTTAAATGTTGACCACAGTAAAGATAAGCTATTACTAGCCTTTTTAAATGCTAAATATAGTAAAGATAAGATATTACTAGCCTTTTTAAATGTTAACCATAGTAAAGATAAGATATTACTAGCCTTTTTAAATGTTAACCATAGTAAAGATAAGATATTACTAGCCTTTTTAAATGTTGACCACAGTAAAGATAAGCTATTACTAGCCTTTTTATAAAGATAAGATATTACTAGCCTTTTTAAATGTTGACCACAGTAAAGATAAGCTATTACTAGCCTTTTTAAATGCTAAATATAGTAAAGATAAGTTATCCTTAACTCCATTATGACTTCCCCAGATCAACAAAAGATGTTACAAGATTTACCATTCTTCTGAATAACATGAGGCTAATGGGAATTTTGGACTGGTGGATGGAAGTGCTGGACTTTATCTACAAGATGCCAGATGACCCAGTTCTTGCAGGTGTGGAGGACTTGTTATATAAGTTTTATAGTTTTATATATGTCATTGAAAGTGATTGATTTTTTGATTGGAAGATGTAATGTATTACTGTTGAGCTGATACAATGCTTGAACTGTTGCAGGTAGCGGTACGTCATGCAGCAGCCCGGGAGCCTCCGAGCACCACAGTTACGCAGCCACTCCTCTCATGTTCTCCCCTATTCATACTCCTATCCTGAGATCACCTCAGGGGCAGTCCCCACAACCTCAGTCTCCACAGCCACAGTCCCCTCGCTCACAGTCCCCTACCTTGGGGCTGCAGAGGGAGTTCAGTCACAGGTCTGCCACACCAAGACTGAACCCTATGGTTGAGTCGACAGGTGTCATGACCAAGCATGCACTCATCCAAGAACAGCACAAAGTTCCCTTTGAACTGAAGCTGAACATCACGGACTCTGAGCTTGTGGTATTGGAGAACACAGCTGTGTGGGATACGAGCGCAGTCATATTAAAGGTAGGGGGGGATCAGTAGGTTGGGGAATGAACTGTCTGATTTTTATATTTTTTTAATAGGTAGTCCTTCTTTTAACAAATATTGTTATAGCCTTGGTGATTTCATTAAAAAGTGTAGTAGTTAAAGATAATTTTATGTGATGGGGACATCAGTTATATATATATATGTCTTTTTTTTTTTGTAGAGCACAGCAGTCATCAGCTATCGACCACAGCACCAAGAACGACCTCTGTCATGCAACTTGAACCAGTGTGAGCTGTATTCATGTATATTAGGCCTGGAGGATGATACTGCTCTCTCCATTATTGACCCTGTCACCATCAACATTGAAGTCAATGACAGATTAGGGCAGAATCAGCCAGTGGACATATCCAACGTGTCAATGGCAGTGCAGCATACTGTTGAGGTAAGTTATTTGATACTGACATATTATTCACAATAAAATACTTTTGTAGACCAAAGCTATTATTGTAATTGAAAGTGTATTTATGTGTATTTTTTAACTTGCTGTTTTATTTTACATAGGTGGTTATGCACCAATTAAATATTCGTCTGAGTTACCATGACATGAAAATGTTCCAACAAATCCTGGAGTCCATTCCAAAGCAGCGTGAAGTTGCCAGGAAGCCTTCTGTATCTAGAGAAAAAAAGCAGCCTGCAAATTTCCAAGGTTTATATTTCCTCTATACAAGTAAAAGAAAATTGTAGTCTATGAAAATACGGGTATTGTAATTTTTTATAACTTTGTGGTAATGTTGTTTGGTTTGGATAAATAATTAATGATTGACTTCCAGTTGTTGAATTATCTCTTTATAATTTTTTTCAAACAGCTCAAGTCGACAAATTGTCAGCTTTGGGATTCCGACCTGCTGATTGCACCCGTGCCCTGGAGGAATGTGGAGGTAGGCTTGATGATGCTGCTCTTTGGCTAACGCACAATGCCCAGCCTGTACCTGCCCCCACTGTGACAGTCCAGGACCAAGGCAAGACAGGCACCATCAACTTCCATGCTGTGGAAATCAAGACCGGAAGTGTCAATGTGTGTGTCATTGATGACTGCGGAGATTGTGATGTCCCCTTGCTTGAGATTTCCCTCTCCCACCTCGGTTTGAAACAGGTAATGTTTTCTGGTTGTGTACGTGTGGTGTTCACTAGACAGTATAGATGAAAATTAATAAAGGTAGGGAAACCAGGATAATCTTTCCCTGTTCTCTTGGCTTTGAGAGTTTTATGCATTTTTTTTATTTTTTTTTTTTTTATCCTTAACAATGCTTATATTTGCAGGATTGGCAAGGAAAAGGATCAGCAAGCTGTTCTCTCTCAGTTGACTACTATAATCGAGCACTGTCTGGTTGGGAGCCTTTCTTAGAACCTTGGCGGTAAGTATATCTCCATGTGACTCACTGAATTGTTCAGGTGAATCAGATTACAGTTTTTGCCTGACCATCACAAGAGCTACCAGAATGTATGTATAATAATGACAAGAAAAAAGAATCAGGCATGAGTTTGTTTTCCATTCCATATTTCAGGTGTGGAGCAGAGTGGGACAAGACTCCATCAAGAGATCTTACTGGGGAACGGCTGTCCTTGAGTGTGAAGACTGATGATACTGTGAATGTGAACGTAACTAATACCTTATTGGAATTGTACCACATGGTGAAGAACAACTGGACTTTAGATTATTACAACAGAGACAGGTTTGTATTCATCTGTATGCTATATCATGCTGCATTATTTTCTGTTGATGTGGAGTAGTGTCTTGCATATAGAATATAAAGGTATTGAAGTTGAATGTATAATTCATTTATATCACATGTTCTAGGATGGAGATTGAGAACAACATTGTGTCCAATGAAGAGGGAGGCAAAACACTGGTGGTCAGTCCTCAGGGTTACAGACGGCGTTCACCTTTTATACCCTTTGCACTCAAGAATGATACCGGATGCAATCTTTGTTTTGCAACCATGACAACAACTCCAGACAGGTATGGTTGTTAAGACTGTCATGATGAGACATGAATTGATGTTATTTGAAGGTGAAATGATGTAGATGATATAAAAATTGATATTATTTTTGATAGATTTGTAGTTACTGTAGGAGTTCTTCAAGAAAGTAATGAGTGCTTTATTTATGAGTGGTATGTTTAGTGTTATATAATATCTTCAAAATGGTTGTATATTGTGTTAATACTTTTAGCATTGTATATTTGTTGCAAAGCGGAGGCAAATTTGATCATCCTTGAAAATTGAGTATGTAGGCTATATTATACCTATATATTATTCAATAGTTGTATTATACAATAGCTTCTTTCAACTTTTTGATCTTTGTCATTTTCCAGCTTGGCTGATGTTGAGAGCCTGGGGCAGAGCATCATGCCAGAGGTAGACTGGATCAGCGTGCCAGCTGGTAACACGATCCCCTTCTCCTTCGAGGGCCGTGGAAAGCAGCGCCACCGAGATACCCATGAGCTTAAGGTTCACCAGCTGTTGGTTCAGGTGGATGGTTGGCAGGCGGTTGGTCCTGTCACAGTGGATAAAGTCGGGGTGTTCTTCAGGCTTGCGGTGTCACAGCCAGCTGGAGCCTCAACACATGTATGTAGCTTGCATTTGGTATTCTTCTGTTAGATTTTAGTTAGGTGATAGATTTGAATTTATGTGTATATATAATCTATGGATTTTTTTTTTTTTTTTTTTTTTTTTTTTGACCTTTAAGTAATCTGTTGTAGTATATTTGTAATCTAGTTTAAAATTCATGATTGATATAAAGGGATATATTTCATATCAAACCTGCCTTTATTACTTACATATGCTTTTTAATCTTCTTATTTAGCTTTACGAATTGCCAAGTGCAAGAGTTGTCGTAGCTGTCACGCTGGATGGCTCAGCGAGGAAGCTAGTCACCATCCGATCGGCCTTGATCCTCGCTAACCAACTTCACTATCCTGTGGACGTCAAGCTGGAAAATGTTGCACTCAGATTAGGGGGTATGAGTCACAGAAATTTTCTTCTTAGTTTTTTATCGATTACTTTCCAGATTATGATCAGCGTTTTCTGTTGTCGCTTTCTCATTCTTATTCTTTTCTTGTTTTAATTCATTCTGCTTGTCATGATTCCATCGAAAAAGAGAAAAGTCGGGTTCATTTAGCATATGAGGTACTCGTAGATGGAACAGGTAAAGAAGTTATCTGTAAAGTTACAAATTTTTACATCTTCATCTCTTTCTACTGTCATGGAAGTATTTGTGAATGCCTTTATATTGCCTTCTGTATAAATGTGTTAACATCCAGCCAGTGACAGATTAACTCATTGCCAGTTAGTATTTCTGCACCTACCCAGTGACATGCCAGCCACTATGCACAGTTAGCCCTTGTGATTAGAAGCATGGGAAGCATATGTTGTTTTCTCATAAGATTTTGGCTGCAACTTATATGAATGCCAGTAAATGAGTGTGAAAAGGGACTTTGAGGGATTGTGACTTCATTCACGGCCAAATGAATGGACAACTGTTTGGCACACAACTTTGAGCAGGCTTGACCTTACGTGGCTTGGAGGTATAGGCTACCCAGTAATGAGTCCAATTGTACCATTGCATGGTACCATTGCATGGTATAACTGGAGGGGTTAATCCATGTATGTGGATGGCATGAATACATGCCATGTCCATAATAATTTTAGTCTGTTAATTGTTTACACAGAGATGGCTCCACAAGTGCTTAGTCATTAAGTTGTCAATTGTTAGTCCTGCCTATCTCACCTGTTTACCCTTTTCCTCGATTTTGGCAAGATTCTGTATTTATTTTATTGTTATTTATATTTCGGTAGCATTAATGTCAATGATAATAACAGGATCAAAATTTATAGCTTTAGAAAAAATAATGTTTTCCCACAAATTCAAGGAATTATGAATACAGGTACTAGGGCCTACTAATTGACTCCTTGGTGACTGAGCACTGGTGGAGCCACCTATGTGTAACAAAATTAAAGAGAAAAACTACAGTGGACAGTCCATAAACCTGCAGCCAGTGGGTTAATAGAAAAGAGGGTATCATCTATTTAGAAGTCCTCGTGACAAGCTAAAAAAGTTTTGTTATTTATTAGTGTATTTGTTCATTTGTTAATACTTCATTTGTTTGTGTTAGCTTGTTCAAGCATTCATTTATTGTTCATGTAGTTTGTTAGGCATTATGATAATTATCATTCTTTTGATACCATTTGACAGTTTCAAACAAATGTTTCATATGCACAATGTCATACATAAAGGTTTCTAATATTGGCCCTTGCAGCAGTGAGGTAAGCAACATGTATAAAATCTAAGGAAGGGCTGAAGAAAGGTGATCATCAGAAAACAGTGGTTGAATTTAGGTGCTCATTGTCCCATGATTTGTTGTACTTTGACTCAAATACAGAACAGGAAAAGATACTGATATTCCAAGAAAAAAAGAAAAGAAAAAAAAAAACAGTAAAATGTTGGGTTTGTCAAGAGAAGAAGGAGGGGTGTTCTGACTACTGATTGGCAGGGAAGATGATGTACCTGTTAGCTGATTGCATTATGATACCTTTACTTCTACCACCTGGAGCTAGATGGATGCTACATCTGTCAGTTCTAGATCTTTATTTAAAGACATTGCATTGGATGCCACCATCTCTTAAAGTCTTAATCTGAAAATTTTACATATAGTATTAAATTATTGGTTGATGCGAGTCACATGATTGTCTCAGAATTAACTATTCTATTACTTACCTCCCTACTGTAGGGAGTGGCAAAATTATGGTTGGATGATGATATAGATGTGGAAAAAGTGTATTCATCCATCCATCCATCTATCTATCTATCTATCTATCTATCTATCTATCTATCTATCTCTCTATCTATCTATCTATCTCTCTATCTCTCTATCTATCTATCTATCTATCTATCTATCTATCTATCTATCAATCTATCAATCTCTCTATCTATCTATCTATCTATCTCTCTATCTCTCTATCTCTCTATCTATCTCTCTATCTCTCTATCTATCTATCTATCTATCTATCTATCTATCTCTCTATCTATCTATCTATCTATCTATCTATCTATCTATCTATCTATCTATCTATCTATCTATCTATCTATCTATCTCTCTATCTCTCTATCTATCTCTCTATCTCTCTATCTTTCTATCTATCTATCTATCTATCTATCTATCTATCTATCTATCTATCAATCTATCTATCTATCTATCTATCTATCTATCTATCTATCTCTCTATCTCTCTATCTATCTATCTATCTATCTATCTATCTATCTATCTATCTATCTATCTATCTATCTATCTATTCATATATCTTTCTATCCATCCATCCATCCATCCATCCATCCATCCTTCCATCATCCATCCTGAGAGGATATTTGTGGAAGTATTCTTTAGTCATTTATTTTGTTATATGAAAGTGGGTGTTTCTAGCTTTGATTGTGATGATGATGTTAACTGCATAATCATCGGGGAATGTTTTCCAGTCTTACAGAATTAGCTAAAGATAACTAGTTACCCCATTGGGTGTATGCATTATCCACTGTGGTTATTTTAGTAATTTTGTTTACACATGGATGGTTTCCCAAGCACTTAGTCACCAGGAAGGCAATTCTATGCTTGCTTGACATCACCCCTTTATCCTGTTTGTTGATTTTTTTTTTGTTTATGTTTTTATTTCTATTACTGTTATTGTTGTTATTAAGATAATTGATATTATTTTTATTAGTAGTATGAGTAGTAGTGTTTTCATTGATATTATTACTAGTAGTAGTATGATGCCATAAGCAATAACAATAGTAACAGATAAAAAAAAAGTCAAGGAATAGGATGATAAGGTGAAGTCATAAATAAAACAAATACAGTAGACAGTGCATATATACAGGCACTCCTGGTATCACTGGGTTATTAACCCATTCGCCACATATGGCAAGAATAGATGCCATACCCACTTTGATACACGTTTATTTAATGTATTTAAACATAGATGGCTCCACAAGTTTTTAATCACCAGATAGCCAGTTATCAAGAACTACCTATTTCACCTGTTTACCCTTTTCCTTCACTTTAGGAAAGTTTTTTTTTTGTATCATTTCATTGTCAAAAATATTCTAATGACAATTCAATAAGTCATAACATCAATAACAATAATAACAGTATCGAAAGCAATGGTATTAGTTTTCCCGCCAGTTCAATGAATGGGAAAATCAGGGTCGGTAACTAGGGCCTACTGATAGACTCCTTGCTGGCTGAGCACATGTGGAGCCATCTGTAGGTAACAAAATTCACTAAAAACTACAGGGGACAGAACATAAATCCGTGGCGAATGGGTTAAAAGCAGCAAAATGATATGTCATGAATTTTGATATATCTGTTAAATACTTTCTATGTATCCTTAGTAGAAATGTTGAATTTGAAAAGGTATTTGAGGAATCTTCTGTAGTGTCAAATTTGTATTGTTAGTATTGGGTTTGGCTTTTGATGCACTAATAGAAAAACTGCATAACATCTTCAGCTAAATGTAGGCTTGTAAAAAATCCCCTTTTTGACAGCCTGATAACCTGTTTCAGCTCCAACGCAGCTAATCAAGCGACTGACCCCGGGCTCAGTCTACCCTGTGCCCATCAAGTTTGTCGAGTTACAGGTTAATGTCCGCCCGGTGCCGGACAGGAGCCGAAGTGTTTTCAGTTTCTCTAACAAGCCGGTCTTTTGTACCCAGTCCCTTAAGTTGGGCTATTTGGAGGGTGGGGCAAGACAGTGCCATGCCCTCAACAGTAATCAGGAACACCCCTATAGGTTTGTTCCTAGACACATCTATGAATGCTAAATTGTTAAGCCAGCTTGTTGTCTTTTGCCAGTCATCCTTTGAGATTCTTTCTTTCTTTTTTTCATCTTCCCTGTTTCTGTTTTGTTCCTGAATCTTGAGAGCTTGTCAGGATTCTTCCCTAGCACTAAAGGCTGTATTTATCCCGACCTACACGCTTTTGGACGTGCTCTTGAGTAAGGTACACAAGGAAAAATCAAATAAACAAGTGGATTAACATAGACTTTGCTGTTGGTGAGAGTCCAGCTTGTGTTGTCTGCACTGCTGCATGAAGTAGTGACCAGCTGTTCTTGTCTCAGTTCTGGCATTTCCTTACCACTCTGTGTTGTGGAATGGATAGTCTATTTTAAGTCCTGCTCATATAGAGTTTCTGTTTTGGGGTAACTTATTTTTTTATTTATCACTGGATTATGGTCTTTGGTCTAGTTTTCAAAGACTGAATATGACTTAATGACGTTACGTTCATGGGGTTGCTCCGAGTGTTATTAAAAATAGGTTGTTTTTAAGACTGGTAAAATCAAAGCTAAAATATTGAGGTAATGGTATTTAGGGAAACGTCTATCTAGTTCAAGATTCTTACAATGATGTGTCCATTGCTACGTTAATAGTGATTTGAAAAGGCGACTTAATTGGTCAGCATTGTAAGCATTGCTGGCCATTAAGTTACTTTGTAGTTGATTATAACTTGATTATAGTATTACGACAAAATATGTTGGAGTGGGAGCTCTGCCACCATTGTAATGGGAATCTTCAACTAGATTATGTATAAGGGGCATGCTGTAACCAGCAACCATAATACAATGGCTTATAACAAAATGTCAGTTTCTGAAGTATTAGAAAATTTGCTTGGATTATAGAAAACAAAATGTATGGCAAGTCATGAAAATATACCGTTACAGGAAAAAGGTCTAAGGGATTATTGACAGAAATAGAAATGATAGAAAAGAAAAATATTGTTTAGACCTTCATCAGTGGACTTAAATTCATGACTCTGGAATTGAGGAAATTGACATAGGACTTTGAACAAGGAAGAAACCTCCTTCTATATTTTGGAATAAAAATGTATAGCAAGCTCAACTAATTTTTTTCTTTTATTTTACAATATCTTGTAAAGTGTACTGATGTATAATACAGTATGTTATTGTTACCGTGAAATAGTGCAAAAAGTATGTCATGTATTATTGTTTATTTGTATTATTATTTTATGTACAGTTTACTTATTCATTTATTTATTTATTTGTTTATATAATTTTTTATCGTTAGCTCGTCTACCCCCTAGCTAGCATGCTAATGTGCAAGGCTCGTGCAATTAGTTTCCTCTTTGTGGACGTAGCAATCATTTTATTTTTGTTTCATGTTACCTCAGATGTTAAAGTCCTTCAAGTGGCTCCCAAGTCCAAAGTACCTGTCCCACTGGTGTATGCTTGGGCTCGGATTTTTGTGCGGCCAGTCACTGCTCCGGGGGGTGGTTGGCTGTATTGCCAGGAGCCGCTGCACTGGCTCACCCTCCTCCAGCCCCGGCAGGAGGCCACAGACCTAAGAGCTTGCCCTGCCATCAACACGCACTTGCCACCTTTTAGGTCTGAATGAATTTTTTTTATTTTTGATTTGATTTTTATGCTTTTTGAAGACTTTTGTTTTGGTATTTAAATTGGATTCTATTGACATGTGTTGATATACTTTTAGGGCTTGGTATAGAGCTTTTAGAAACATATGTAGTAATTCATGATTTATAGTGTTAATGCATTCTTAAAGTGAGGAAATATAGTTTGATGTTGTAAGAACTCTGGATCTTGATTGCATGATTAACTGTTAGATATTAGTATATCCTAGAGTACTTAATATGTAAGAAAATGAGTTTAAGATCATGTAAACTTGTTGCTGTATTGAAGTAATCTAATTTCTCTAAAAGATGTTTCAAAAAGTTATAAAGTAGAGTCATCATATATATTTTCATTCACAAATTAGAAATCACAGCTCAACATTAATCAGTCAGGCCAATCTATGTATGTATCTAAAGTTCCCAATGGTTAAACAGGTTTTGTGTTCACGTGAAGCGAGACAATTTTCCCGTGGATTCGTCCCCCCCTTCTCCTCCCACAAACTCTCCACATTTAACGCCTCGACATAACGAGTGGGTAAGTTTATGGCAAAGAACGTGCTAAGGATTAATGACGATTGTTTTCCTCTTATTGTAAAGTATTTTCCATTGTTGATCCTTGCGTTACATTTTTTAAGATCATATTTTGATGGCATATGATACCACAACCTCCTTCCTTCCTTATGTTTTATTGTATTTCTAATCATTAAACAGGTTCAGCCAGGTCACACCATAGTGCTAGTGAGCCCACTGACCTTAGTGAACCTCCTCCCATACGATCTACACTACGAGGTCAAGGCAACGGGCAATGTGAGTCGCGTTAAACCAGGAGAGGACGACTGCCTCCACTCTGTTGACCCAGCCCAGAGTATCTCCCTCTCTCTGTGGACAGATACTCTTGAGCCCTGTGGAGAGATAACACTAAACCCATCTACCTCCATGTACGTGCTGCCCTTTAAGTTGCAGGACTCGCTGAAACGTATCCTGTACATTCACTTGAAAGTGAAGCCGCAGTTTGGAGGAGCCCTAAAGGTCTGTTTTGAATGATCTTTTTCAAATATTGGAATTCTTAATTTGAACACTAATGATCACAAAAAAACAAACACATACAAATACACATAAACATAAACACAAACAACATAAACACACAAATGCACATGCACACACAACACACATGCACACACACACACACACACATGCACATGTGCGTGCACATGCATGCACAGACAGACACACACACAGACACACACATAGACACACACACACAACACACACACACACACCACACACACACACACACAACACACACACACACAACACACACACACACACACACACACATGCACACACACACACACAACACACACACACACAACACACACACACACACAACACACACACACACACACACACAACACACACACACACACACAACACACACACACACACCACACACACACACACAACACACACACACACACACACACAACACACACACACACAACACACACACACACACCACACACACACACACAACACACACACACACAACACACACACACACACAACACACACACACACACACCACACACACACACACCACACACACACACACACACACAACACACACACACACAACACACACACACACACCACACACACACACACCACACACACACACACCACACACACACACACACACACACACACACACACACACACACACACACACACACACACACACACACATGCATATGTGCATGCACATGCACATGTGTTTGCACATGCGTGCACAGACAGACACACACACAGACACACACATAGACACACACATAGAGACACACATTTATCCAGTTTAGTATGGCTTTTGATTGTCCCATACCTTGTAGTTTCTTATTGCGGGGTAATCAAAGCCTTGTCATAGAATCTATAATACAAAGATATAAGTATGAAATGAAGATGTAACTGATGTGAGCCTATTTCACAGGTTGTCATATATGCAGGATATTGGCTGATCAACAAGACAGGGTTACCCTTAGTCTTTAAGCAGGAGGGTGTATCAGCTGATGCTGCAGGTATGTATACTATGTGGTATTTAGTAGTAGGCTTTTTGAATTTTTATATTCAAGTTGACATGCAGTGCAAGTGTTAGGAATGCACTGTATATTTTATGTTATCTGTCTTGTATTTTTTTTATGTTATATGTTTTTTTGACACATTTATTGCTCATGATGTCAGCTTGATGTCATATATAAGCAGACTCTCTTGTTACCTAATTGTGGCAGTTTGTCAGATGCCTTGAGGCGGCCCATTTGCTAGGAAGCATTAAAGTTCCATGGAAAGTCCCATTTCTTATCTATTAATTGTGAGATTTCCCCAATTTAAATGTGAGCTCACTGTTTCCTTACCTTATATTCTTTTTTTAAATTAAGTTTTTTTCTACATCTGAAGACCATGTGGTCTTGATGACAGTCAATATTTGAAGGTACCAAAAGATTGTCAATCCAAATCAGATTTCAGGAAAGCAGATGCCTGCCATAGATTTTCAGTAAAGTGACTAAATGATAGAGACTTAATACTTTTGCACACCTCGAGGTAAGTGTGAGAATTATTACAAGAATATTATGTAGTACAAATGAGAGTCAGCTGACACTAAGGTAACACCTATTCTCCTCTCTAATTACCTTCAGGGCAAGACATGGAACATGAAGTAGCTCGTTGTGCAGCCCCACTGTTGTTCTCTTTTACTGATCGTGATGCTAACCCTATGCTTGTTGCGAGGGTTGGACGCAACTTACATCCTGAGTCGAGAGCACAGGTAAGGAAAGACGTCTTGCAGTTTGCAGTATAAATTGTGGAGAGAAATTTTAGTGAAAGTTTGATTATAGAGGATACAACTTACAATTCTTTAGATGCTGGTGCTTCATTATAATCTAATGTTTGATAAATGTTCACATTAGGAGGCTGTATTGTACATGAATAGAAAAAAAAATGACCCTTTCCATTTCCCAGTTTTGCCACAAGCTGCCCCTGACACAAGGGACATGGGTTCGCCGTCTCAGAGTCAGTCCCTCAGATGCCCGGCCAGACCATGTCTACATTGTTGGTGTTGATGTGAGACCTGGCCGTGGACGATATAGAGATACGTACATGGTCACATTCTCACCCCGCTTCCAGATTGAGAACAGGTCCTCTCATGAGCTGATTATTGCGCAGAAATGCTTTACAACATCCTTTGTGAGTTGAGTTCTTTTTTTTGTTCTTGAGGATTTCCTAATTTACAAGAACTAATTTGTGTTTTTTATTTGTTCTTTTCTTTTTTTATCAATTCTTAATCTCAGACTTTAATTGCACAGACTGACCCTGGAGCCCAATCCACCTGGTTACGAGCCATCCCAGGTTGCTGGCTCCCCTTCCACTGGCCGCGACCGGACAAGGACCAGCTGTTGTGCATATGTCTTCGAGATGTCCAAGGGTGCCATTGGTCTGGTGGATTCTTTATAGAGAAGATTGACTCTTTCTACCTGAATATTCGGTGAGTTGATGTGTAAATTGTTGGTATACAGTAGGTAAGACTATAGAGGAAGAGATTGACAGATAGATACAGTAAATGGATAGATACAGTTGAGAGATAGATGGATACAATAGATAGATAGATAGATATAACTGATTGAGAAATTTGATAGATAGATACAGTAGATAGATAAATTTATAGATAGGAAGATTGATTGATTGAGAGATAGAGACAGCAGATCTTGTAGATAGTTGAAAAGATTGATAGGTAGATTTTATATGCACGAATATTTTATGTGGGCACTGTATAATTGCTCTTGGATATATATGTTTGTACCTTGCCCAAATCATCAAAATTTTGTTTTCTTTTTCTTTGAAGTCCTTTGTTTATAAGCTATGACTTTAATTTGTTTTTCATCCTTTATATTAATCTTATTTTTTTTGACAGAGATGGCAACAGTCACTCATATTTTATCCGTGTAGAAGTCATCATCAATGATGCCACCTACTTCATTGTCTTCACTGATGCAGAATCCCTGCCTCCTCCCTTTCGAATCGACAACTTCTCTGAAGTCCCAATCACCTATTACCAAGTATGGAAGGACAGGTTGCATTTATACAGAAGTAATCTTAGTTGGTTAGAGATAATATGATTGATATTATTTGTTATATTTTAATATATTTTTTTTTGTTATATGTTTTTTTGACACATTTATTGCTCATGATGTCAGCTTGATGTCATATATAAGCAGACTCTCTTGTTACCTAATTGTGGCAGTTTGTCAGATGCCTTGAGGCAGCCCATTTGCTAGGAAGCATTAGAGTTCCATGGAAAGTCCCATTTCTTATCTATTAATTGTGAGATTTCCCCAATTTAAATGTGAGCTCACTGTTTCCTTACCTTATATTCTTTTTTTAAATTAAGTTTTTTTTTCTACATCTGAAGACCACGTGGTCTTGATGACAGTCAATATTTGAAGGTACCAAAAGATTGTCAATCCAAATCAGATTTCAGGAAAGCAGATGCCTGCCATAGATTTTCAGTAAAGTGACTAAATGATAGAGACTTGATACTTTTGCACACCTCGAGGTAAGTGTGAGAATTATTACAAGAATATTATGTAGTACAAATGAGAGTCAGCTGACACTAAGGTAACACCTATTCTCCTCTCTAATTACCTTCAGGGCAAGACATGGAACATGAAGTAGCTCGTTGTGCAGCCCCACTGTTGTTCTCTTTTACTGATCGTGATGCTAACCCTATGCTTGTTGCGAGGGTTGGACGCAACTTACATCCTGAGTCGAGAGCACAGGTAAGGAAAGACGTCTTGCAGTTTGCAGTATAAATTGTGGAGAGAAATTTTAGTGAAAGTTTGATTATAGAGGATACAACTTACAATTCTTTAGATGCTGGTGCTTCATTATAATCTAATGTTTGATAAATGTTCACATTAGGAGGCTGTATTGTACATGAACAGAAAAAAAAATGATCCTTTCCATTTCCCAGTTTTGCCACAAGCTGCCCCTGACACAAGGGACATGGGTTCGCCGTCTCAGAGTCAGTCCCTCAGATGCCCGGCCAGACCATGTCTACATTGTTGGTGTTGATGTGAGACCTGGCCGTGGACGATATAGAGATACGTACATGGTCACATTCTCACCCCGCTTCCAGATTGAGAACAGGTCCTCTCATGAGCTGATTATTGCGCAGAAATGCTTTACGACATCCTTTGTGAGTTGAGTTCTTTGTTTTGTCCTTGAGGATTTCCTAATTTACAAGAACAAATTTGTGTTTTTTATTTTTTTCTTCTATTAATTTTTTTATCAATTCTTAATCTCAGACTTTAATTGCACAGACTGACCCTGGAGCCCAGTCCACATGGTTACGAGCCATCCCAGGTTGCTGGCTCCCCTTCCACTGGCCGCGACCGGACAAGGACCAGCTGTTGTGCATATGTCTTCGAGATGTCCAAGGGTGCCATTGGTCTGGTGGATTCTTTATAGAGAAGATTGACTCTTTCTACCTGAATATTCGGTGAGTTGATGTGTAAATTGTTGGTATACAGTAGGTAAGACTATAGAGGAAGAGATTGACAGATAGATACAGTAAATGGATAGATACAGTTGAGAGATAGATGGATACAATAGATAGATAGATAGATATAACTGATTGAGAAATTTGATAGATAGATACAGTAGATAGATAAATTTATAGATAGGAAGATTGATTGATTGAGAGATAGAGACAGCAGATCTTGTAGATAGTTGAAAAGATTGATAGGTAGATTTTATATGCACGAATATTTTATGTGGGCACTGTATAATTGCTCTTGGATATATATGTTTGTACCTTGCCCAAATCATCAAAATTTTGTTTTCTTTTTCTTTGAAGTCCTTTGTTTTTTAAGCTATGACTTTAATTTGTTTTTCATCCTTTATATTAATCTTATTTTTTTTGACAGAGATGGCAACAGTCACTCATATTTTATCCGTGTAGAAGTCATCATCAATGATGCCACCTACTTCATTGTCTTCACTGATGCAGAATCCCTGCCTCCTCCCTTTCGAATCGACAACTTCTCTGAAGTCCCAATCACCTATTACCAGGTATGGAAGGACTGGTTGCATTTATACAGAAGTAATCTTAGTTGGTTAGAGATAATATGATTGATATTATTTGTTATATTTTAATATATATATTTCTGTTACAGACTGGCACTCAGGAGGAGAGGTTAAGAACCATAGTCAAGCCACGCTCTTGTGTCGCCTATGCCTGGGATGATGTAATGTTGCCACCTCACCTTACGTGTGTTGCCCCAGGGGGAACCTCCGCCACGTATAATTTGAACATCCTCTGTGAAGGTGCAAGATTAACATATGAGAATTTCATCTACATAGCTTTCACAGGGACATTTCGCAAGTGAGTAATGTTAGATTGCTGTTTGGTTTAGATGTTGCCATTTTTTGTAAAAACCTTTGCCTTGCTTTTTTTTTTTTTTTTTTACTTCTTTACTTATGTTTTTTTTATTTATTTGTTTATTTTTTTTTACTTTTTAGAAAGTAATATGTTACAGAAATTTATTTTCTGGGCCAGTGCTTGTTATCCTTTTCACTGCTCACAATCAAGCATTTTCCTGCAGTTAAAAAGTAAATGATAATTGGCTTTTTCGGAAATGCTTTTGTTCCTTCCATGTTGAGAGGCCCCTTAACTAATGGTATCTTTTATCACCCTGGGAAGAAGGTTGCCATTACACATGTAAGTATCCACACATTCTTTGGAATGTTGCTACACTTCCCCTGCTTGCCAGCCATCATTGTCTGCACGTAGCTTGCCACTTAGTGTCACAGGCTCTGTCAACAGTATGCAACCCCAATGACCGTGCAAACATTTTTGTAATGGTCATTCATGGGCTGTGGATAGAGTTTTGGCAGTGTCCTCAAGCTTTAATAACAGAGGCTGTGAGATAGAGAATTGTTAAAAGTTATTCAAGCGTCCAATAGGTTAGTTGTTAGTGTCATTTTTTTTATTTATCTGTCACTGCCACATTTGTTGGTTATTTATTAATTTTCTCTATCAGGATTAAATATTATAGAATAGCTTACTTTGTATCTACCTATTGATTTGATCTTTATCAGGATCATCATCAGATTCCTTTAATGAGTCAGTGCAGAGTTGTATTTTAGTATTATAGTGTATGAGGGTCTGTTTCTCTGTCAAGTGCAGTTCCCAGAATAACACTTCTTAAAATCAAACTTTTCAGGAATACTTATGATAAAGGTTCACATGCTTTGAAATCATATACTTTTTTCTTACAAGAAAGATAATTTTCATGACTTCTTAAGTAGATTATTGTCAGTTTGTTTTGGATGGAAGAATTGGTCATTTTTAGACATGCATTCTTATATACAAACACTTTCTATATATACGATATTTAGTGTCATGAATGATCTTTATTAGTAATTATGACTATTGTTACCTCTCTATTGAGAATATTAATGATACATTTTTCTGTAGATAAAGAATGTGTACAGTGAATGACTCATCATCTTTTAGAAAAGGCATTTATATATTCTTTTAACTTTGGACGTGGCCCAGCTTTGAATATATATTTTTTAGATAAGTTCTTTCTTTGGTGGCAGTCACAGTAGGAACAAAAGTAGAGAGTTTGCGATGCCTTTTAAAAAAAAGCTCACTACTTTGTTCAGAATTGCTTTATGTTTTAGGAAGCTTTAATGGCTTTTCCAGCTTTTGCTTTATATTAACTGATGATATATATATATATTTTTTTTTATGATGATGATGATGGTGGTGGTAATGAAGTACAAGTTAAGTTTTAATTCTTTGTGATGTTCAATAGCATAGTAATAGCACATCGTAATGGATTGACTGCTTGACAGCTTTGAATAGTCAGTGTGAATAATCTTTACAAGAAACAGATCTCTGAGGAGAATTTTCTGTCTTTTTTTAAAGGTAAAATTATAACTTAATAAGTCAGAATATTTTTGAGAAAGATTGATTGATAAGTATACAGACAAGCATTTATCTCTGTGATTAGTCTGATGTTAAGTGTAAATATTTTATTGGTAGTATTATGTATTTAGAAAGTTGTACTGTTAATTGGAAATCAAAAGCTTAGGTTTTTAGTATATGGAAATCCTATCATAGTTTTAAGATTTTCTTTATTAATTCTTTACTCATTTAGCATGCCTTTTTTGGCAGATTTTTATACTTTATTGGCATTTTATATAAAGAAGCAAAAAGAGTATATTGCTTTGTATAATATAAGGTCTATGATTTTTTTTTCTTTTCCTTTTGTGGAAAGAGGTTGTGCTACTGATTCCTGCATTTGTGCCTGTGTGGCAGAATAACATTGCATGGGATTTTCCTCTCATATAGGAGTTTGTTAGTGAAATAGTTTCCTGTGAATTGAAGCAGCCCTTCTAAATCTCTATACAGTCACATGGAGCCACACGTAGACAGTGACACAAGGTGATGATGCACGACAACACATAACAACACATAACAACACATAACAACACATTGTGGCTCGTGCTGACGCATGCCGACACATTCTGTTACATGCTGACACAGGCAGACATATACAGACATACAGATATATTAAGACAGACTGAGACACACACAGACATACACAATTGCTAAAGAACAGTTAATCTTCACAAAAGGAATCTCCAGTTTACCCAGCATATGAGATGCAGATTACAGGATTCTCAAGTGCCCAGTCACAGAATGAACTAGGGCTTATGAGACAATAAACATATATAATGAATATTTTATTTAAGCAGTTGCAGCCATGATGTAGGAGATGAGACAACTGTACAATGAAACAGTTACACGCAAACGTACCTTCCCTCTTTCCTTCTTTCATCCTTTCTGACAGAATGTGTATCTCTTAGAGTGTAAAGTAAATAAACCCAGTAGTGATTTTATATGCAGAGTACCAAGCCAAGTTTTACCCACACAAATGTGCATGTGGATGATGATAGTGGAATTGTGACTGGATGGTTGAATTCTTTGTTTCTCATACTAATGTTAAGGAGCCTTTTCGCTCTGTGTATTTTATAGAAGATAAAGAATATGGGCTGGCTATTTTTTTGGTGTGTGGGGGGGAGGGAGGGAATAGGTGGGAGAGAGTTTGTATTTGTGTCTGAAGTAAAAAGATGTAATGAGTATAGTTAAAGAAATGTTGCACAATATTAGCTACCAAATGCTTGGATGGCATTATAAAATACATATAGATCAGATCTTATGTAATAAATTGGCAGTTTAAACATTACAAAATATAGTTCTTGCTTGTCACAATGTACTAGTGCAGTTGATACAAGTGTTGCATTCATGACAGTATCTTGTAAATTTTTGTATAGTATATTTTTATCATTATTGCTTTTTCCTATTCTTTCCTCTTTTCCTGAGTGTTATTATTACTATTTTTTAAATAGTAAGTTCTTGTGATAAGTATTCATTACTTAAAGGAAATAGTTCAGAGTCAGATTAATGAGATGAAGAGGAGTGATACTATTTTTTGTTGTAAAATAGGAGTGTTTCTTTAATATGTATATCTGTTTATCTATCTATCAATCTAATCTTATCTTATCTTATCTTATCTTATCTTATCTTATCTTATCTTATCTATCTGTCTATCTGTCTATATACACATACATATACAGTATACATATGCATTAATATTCTTATACATATATATACGCATATACATATATATACATATATGTACATATATATACATATACATATACATATACATATACATATACATATACAAATACATATACATATACACATATATATATACATATGCATATATACATATACATGTGTATATATACATATAGATATGTACATATATATATACTTATGCATATATAATTATATATATATATATAATATATATATATATATATATATATATATATATATATATATATATATATATATATATATATATACATATACATATACATATACATATACATATACATATACATATACATATACATATACATATACACATATATACATATGCATATATACATATACATGTGTATATATCTATCAATCTAATCTTAGCTTATATTATCTTGTCTTATCTTATCTTATCTTATCTTGTCTTATCTTATCTTATCTTATCTTATCTTATCTTATCTTATCTTATCTTATCTTATCTTATCTTATCTTATCTTATCTTATCTTATCTTATCTTATCTTATCTTATCTTATCTTATCTTATCTTATCTTATCTTATCTTATCTTATCTTATCTTATCTTATCTTATCTTATCTTATCTTATCTTATCTTATCTTATCTTATCTTATCTTATCTTATCTTATCTTATCTTATCTTATCTTATCTTATCTTATCTTATCTTATCTTATCTTATCTTATCTTATCTTATCTTATCTTATCTTATCTTATCTTATCTTATCTTATCTTATCTTATCTTATCTTATCTTATCTTATCTTATCTTATCTTATCTTATCTTATCTTATCTTATCTTATCTTATCTTATCTTATCTTATCTTATCTTATCTTATCTTATCTTATCTTATCTTATCTTATCTTATCTTATCTTATCTTATCTTATCTTATCTTATCTTATCTTATCTTATCTTATCTTATCTTATCTTATCTTATCTTATCTTATCTTATCTTATCTTATCTTATCTTATCTTATCTTATCTTATCTTATCTTATCTTATCTTATCTTATCTTATCTTATCTTATCTTATCTTATCTTATCTTATCTTATCTTATCTTATCTTATCTTATCTTATCTTATCTTATCTTATCTTATCTTATCTTATCTTATCTTATCTTATCTTATCTTATCTTATCTTATCTTATCTTATCTTATCTTATCTTATCTTATCTTATCTTATCTTATCTTATCTTATCTTATCTTATCTTATCTTATCTTATCTTATCTTATCTTATCTTATCTTATCTTATCTTATCTTATCTTATCTTATCTTATCTTATCTTATCTTATCTTATCTTATCTTATCTTATCTTATCTTATCTTATCTTATCTTATCTTATCTTATCTTATCTTATCTTATCTTATCTTATCTTATCTTATCTTATCTTATCTTATCTTATCTTATCTTATCTTATCTTATCTTATCTTATCTTATCTTATCTTATCTTATCTTATCTTATCTTATCTTATCTTATCTTATCTTATCTTATCTTATCTTATCTTATCTTATCTTATCTTATCTTATCTTATCTTATCTTATCTTATCTTATCTTATCTTATCTTATCTTATCTTATCTTATCTTATCTTATCTTATCTTATCTTATCTTATCTTATCTTATCTTATCTTATCTTATCTTATCTTATCTTATCTTATCTTATCTTATCTTATCTTATCTTATCTTATCTTATCTTATCTTATCTTATCTTATCTTATCTTATCTTATCTTATCTTATCTTATCTTATCTTATCTTATCTTATCTTATCTTATCTTATCTTATCTTATCTTATCTTATCTTATCTTATCTTATCTTATCTTATCTTATCTTATCTTATCTTATCTTATCTTATCTTATCTTATCTTATCTTATCTTATCTTATCTTATCTTATCTTATCTTATCTTATCTTATCTTATCTTATCTTATCTTATCTTATCTTATCTTATCTTATCTTATCTTATCTTATCTTATCTTATCTTATCTTATCTTATCTTATCTTATCTTATCTTATCTTATCTTATCTTATCTTATCTTATCTTATCTTATCTTATCTTATCTTATCTTATCTTATCTTATCTTATCTTATCTTATCTTATCTTATCTTATCTTATCTTATCTTATCTTATCTTATCTTATCTTATCTTATCTTATCTTATCTTATCTTATCTTATCTTATCTTATCTTATCTTATCTTATCTTATCTTATCTTATCTTATCTTATCTTATCTTATCTTATCTTATCTTATCTTATCTTATCTTATCTTATCTTATCTTATCTTATCTTATCTTATCTTATCTTATCTTATCTTATCTTATCTTATCTTATCTTATCTTATCTTATCTTATCTTATCTTATCTTATCTTATCTTATCTTATCTTATCTTATCTTATCTTATCTTATCTTATCTTATCTTATCTTATCTTATCTTATCTTATCTTATCTTATCTTATCTTATCTTATCTTATCTTATCTTATCTTATCTTATCTTATCTTATCTTATCTTATCTTATCTTATCTTATCTTATCTTATCTTATCTTATCTTATCTTATCTTATCTTATCTTATCTTATCTTATCTTATCTTATCTTATCTTATCTTATCTTATCTTATCTTATCTTATCTTATCTTAGCTCTTTTTACATTGAAAGATAATAACTTCATCAGAATTCATCTTAGGAGTTTGTAATAGGACATACTTTCATTATAAGAGTTATTTGCTTCTAAATAATGATTTATGAACTGGAGTCATAATCTTAATCTTTATTGCAGGTCCTAGACATAGCAGGTCCAGCCCCGCAGCCTACGGAATACACACCTCTGATGCTGCGAAAGCCCGATGAGAGGAGATCCCTTACGCAGACATGGAGGTTTACTGAAGACGGCAGACTTTGCTGTGTGCATGTCAATATGTATGTGCAAGCCAAGGATGGGTTCCTTGGATTGGCTCCAGGTGGGTATGATTGGTGGTACTATGATTTTGAGTGGAGTCTGCTTTTGTTGCTTTATAATAATTTGTTTTACAATTCATCTCTATGGATTTGATGAATGGTGATATTTTTGTTTGTAAAAGGAAAAGGTGATACAAAGAGATGATTTAGAATCAAGAAAGGAAATTCTCTGTTTTAGGTGTAGATAAAAAATAAAAAAATTGTATTTGTCAATTTACATCAATGCTAATCCTTTAAGATCAACATGAAAATGAAAGAGAGAATGAGAGAAAGAAATAGGCTTTAGGGCTTTGGCTTTTGAAGCAAATGGTGAACGATATACAATTAAATTGGCTTAATCTTAAGGCTTACAAGTGAATTGGCTTTTATGTGATCCTGGTAAATTTGTATTATTACAGGGTCAGGATGTGGGGGGTCATGGCAGCTGTGTAGGTATTCAAAGTGAAGGGCGCATCCAAGTAGACAGTACTTCCATTGACTTTAAAGAATGTAGAATACTCGCTTTCAAATAGCCCGGAGAATTACCTGTAGTTTAGTCTTGTATAGAAGAAATTGACGACCTCTTTGAAAGTCTTTTATGATGTATAGATAGTTTTTATTTGTGAGACCAACCAAGCAGTTGAAGTGACACTTGGATCAACCCTCTGTGCTTTACTTTGTGTATTGGCTCATACACTTTTGCTCCTGTCAGCTTCTTTAATATTAGTTACCATCATTTCAAGGGGAGTCCTCTTGGCGGAAAAGATAACCAAATGTAGGGGATATTTTTTTCCCCATATGTACTTGCATATTAGAGGAGACTAAGACTAATGTTGATGTAATCACTTATTGGCAACTTTCAGATTTTTTGTTCCCCATTTGTTCAATTTGGTTATGGCAATTGAACACATAATGGCTTTCAAAGATTGCTTGTTGGCATTCTTATTTAACTGTATTTAAGACAATTTTCAGCTATATATGATGGACATGGAATAAAATAGTTTTACTAGTAATATTTTATGAAAATGAGATTAAAATTTTAGTTTCTTGTGCTGTGCTTTATCAGTCATTGTCATGTTATTTCCAACATAAAAAACTGATATCTAAAAAGAATGTATAGTCTAGAAAAAATCTGTTAGATATATCTAAAATTTATTCGAAGAAAAAGAATGAGGCATATGACAGGTTTCTGTTTGAAAAGTCTATTGCCAAAGTTAGAGCAATATGGCATGATTAACTAATTGTAAATCTCGGCAAATTATGGCACCAATATTTGTCTTCCCTTGTTCTTAGATGAACTTTACAGCAAAATCACCTTGGCTGAAGCCTCTGATTAAGAAGTCATAAACTTCAAACCAGACCTTAAGAAAATATGTATTTCATGCATTGTGCTTTCATTAGATATGCATGCCATCCATGTAATTGATTATCATGGGAAATTTAAAGATTCAAGTAATTGCTCTTGGGTAAAGAAGGGAGAATAGTTATAAAAAATGTGTCAAAAAGTTCAGGAACCACTTATGTCCATATATTTCATGTAAATTATCTTCATTTTTCATTTGATATTAATTATGCAGACTTTAATGTCTTTTACCACTTCTTTTTATGCCACGATAGAAATGTAAGATTTGGAATATTAACCCATGCGATCTGGATGCTTCACTGCCATCACGTGTCCCAGAATATGGGCATTAAGCTTACTTGAGTGGTCAGTCTGATGGGTGTGTGGCTTGTGTGCGGTGACAAGACTCCATTCCTCCCCTTGGCAATGTTTTCTCCTTGTCTGCATTAGCACTTTTAAATTTTCTGTATTTGTCATTTAATTTGCATTATGCAGATGGTAATAGACAGTTTTCTTTACATGTACTCCATATCATTTCTTTAGGTATTCCATAATTCAGTACAGTAATAATAATAGTAATAAATAACATTTTGTCATTTGTGTCATTTATATTTTTTTTCATACTATAAAAATTTCTGTAATACAACCTGCCCCACCAGTCACTGCAGCTAGGAATAGGATCCCATGCGAGGAAATAGCGTCTGCCATGGAGCCAGCACTCTTCCAGTCATTGCTCATGGATGGTACATTCCTCACTTGTTTATTGATAGAAATAATGCAAAAACCACTTTGTAAATGCTAAGTGAGTCTAATCACCCTCCAAGAGGTTTGGGTATTTGTGGGGAGTCATTCCTGCCACCCTAGCCTTTAGTTGAAATGCTTGCGATGGCAAGTTCGTGTCACCCCAGCCCACAGACAAATTTTCCCATGATGGCATGTGCACGTCACCTGCCCCTTAAGCCTGATTTTTTCATAATGTGATGGTCACGTATTCTGGATTGTAAGGGTTAAACTGTACTCAGACTTTTGGCAATTCTTTTACATAAGCTAAAAGAGCTATTTATAGCTTGTATCAAGTGAAACTATTAGTGATTTATATAGCTTCTTATAATTGTCTATTACAAAGGTACATGTTATTTGAAGCACAGTGCTAGCTTCTTGTGCCACAACTACTAAGTTGGATTATAGTTTGTAACTATTTTTTCTTTAATCCTTATTCCAGCTCTGCAGGACAGAGCAGAGGCATGTTGTAGGAAAAATGTGTTTTTAATATGAAAAGGAAATGTTCAAATGACAACAGTATTTTTTTATTTTTTTGTTTTTTATTATAAAATCCAGAAAGCATATTTGTTTACATGCCAATAGTGACAATGGCTTTCATTTGATATATATATTTCATCTTATCATTTTGTTATAATTTTTCGCCAAGTTGTGCCCTTTGATGGTTTGTCTGAAAATCTAATCCATTAACTATTGTCTTGATTTGGGAATCTGACAGGAAAATGATTAATGTTAATTGGATGCTTAACTCATTGGGTCTGGGTGACATGACCATCATGTCATGGAAAAATCCAGGTTGAGGAGTGGGTGACAACAACATGCTGTCACAGAAAAACCTGGCTGGGTGAAGCGAATCTGCTGTCATGAGTGTTGCGGCTGAAGGAAAAGACTCACCACGAGTGCACAAACCTCTTAGGAGGTTTATTTTACTCATTTGGTGATTTTGCATATTTTCATTGATCTATGAGTGTGGAATGAAATGTCCATGAGGGGTGACTGGAAGAGAACTGGCTCCATGGGGGACGTCATTTCCATGCTCAGCATCGTATCCCTGGTGCTGTGAGCAGTGGCACATGTTATTTTACAGAAAATTGAATATCACATAGAAAAAAATTTAAATGACAAAAGTAACTTTTTTTTTTTTTTTCCACCGAGGTGTAAACTTCCTTGAGAGAGGATTGGAGTCTGTGCTAAGAAAAAAACTATTACCCTCTGGATAATGCAGAGCAAATATCAAATATAGACATTGGAAAATGGCCAAAAGGCTAAAATATGCTTATGCATAAAAACGGTAAATAACTTTGCAAATAGGAGGCATAGGGTCTTCCTACTGTGCACACATGTTTGCATGCACCTGGCCTACAAGCAGCCACGTGGCAGAGCAGCTGGTCACATAAGCCTAATGCCTGGATTTTTGGTGATGTTATTGTAATGCAATCAGATCCAATGGGTTAAGGAGGAGGAGGAGGATATATTATTGCTAGCAATTAATTCCTGTATGTTGCTTTGTCTTAAAATTTGATCCTTTTTAATAAATAAGCTTATAATTTTTATATCTCCAGCATTCAATAAGAAGTTAACATATGAGGAATGTTTCAGTGCAAACCAGTATCTCTAAAATTAGTGTAACAGGTTGAAATAGGGTCAAAGCATTCTTTAACTTTATGAAGGGAGAAGTTAACATTAGCTTTATGAATCAAGTAAAGAATAATCTGAATGAAGAAGAAGCATGGGAAGCACCTTGTGTATCTTGCTTGCACTAATGCAGGTACTAATTGAATGATAGAATACCTTGAAACAATTATTTTTGTATAAGTGAATAATGTAGATTGCTAGTATATTAACAATAGCATACTCTTTAAATTATATTATACTGATTTTTGATTGCATATTGCCATATGCTACAATAGATCCCTCTTCTAAAGAAGAGAGTATCCTTTCATATTACAAGAAAAAAAATATATACTTTCAGGGAACGACGTGGTTTTGGGTCCGCCGCAATTGGTCCACTATGGAACAATGGAGAATGGAGTGCCTTTGGAACAAGCCATATCCAGGCAGCGTTTGCGGCCAGGGTCAGGCGTGCTGGCTGTGAAGGTTGACACAGATGGACCCACAAGAGTCTTGCAAATTACAGATGTTCACAGCAAGGTTAGTTATGAAAGTGAAATATAGTATAAAGGATAAATGTTTTGACTTATAGATCATAGGTTTAAAGGTTAGAGATGGTCCATGGCACTGCCTCTTCACTTCAGTTACCAAGTGAAGAGGCAGTGCAAGTACCCTAGAGCAAACCCTGTTATGGTACATGGCCCAGTGGCCCTTTTCACCCATGTGGAAATCGTGTTTGTGTGGGTTACACAACAGGTGTAACGGATGACCGAACCCCTTATCTCCTGCTCATCATAGGGATCACCCCACCCTTACACAGACACACACACAAAAAGGTGCAGTCTGTAGGCAGTAAAAATGTAAAAATTCTGTAATGTATTTACTACAAGTTATATTTTTTTTTTTTTTTTTAAATAAGGCATTCAATTAAATTCCTATTTAACTTGTGCCCAAATCACAGATGCTAGTTTCCACCTAACATTAACACTGAAAACACCTACATGTAAAGGCAACAAGCTCTGTGCTCTGTGAATATGCGTATGACTCCCCCTCCCCCCCACCCTCCCCTCCCTGCAGAGTGCTTCCATGGTGGCCCGAACGGAGAGCGGAGACTGGGTGAGCGTGAGTGAGGAGGGAGGAACGACCACCATCAAGAAGACCAGTGCCGGCACACAGCAGGTGAAAGAGGGGTCCAACCTTCAGGAAGTACATGTGAGTTTTTAGAATTTTTTTTTGATTGTTTTATGTTTATTTATTTATTTATTTGTTGAGCGATTGGTTGATGTGTTTACTTATGAATGTATTTATTTGTCTACTTATTTAGTTGGTCGTTCTCATGTTTATTTGTTTGTATGTATATTGCCTGTTTATTTGTATATTTGTTCATTTATATATATATTTTGTAATTGGGTATTTATTCATTTGTTCTGGTTATTTATCTGTTTGCCTATGTATTTGTTTCTTTAGATCATGACCCTCCTCTTCCTTTTCCTCTTCCTCTTCCTCTTCCTCTTCCTCTTCCTCTTCCTCTTCCTCTTCCTCCTCCTCCTCCTCTTCTTCATCTTCTTCTTCTTCCTCTCCTCCTCCTCCTCCTCTCCTCCTCCTCCTCCTCCTCCTCCTCCTCCTCCTCCTCCTCCTCCTCCTCCTCCTCCTCCTCCTCCTCCTACTCCTCCTCCTCCTACTTCCTCCTCCTCCTACTCCTTCTCCTTCTTCTTCTCCTCCTCCTCCTCCTCCTCCTCCTCCTCCTCCTCCTCCTCCTCCTCCTCCTCCTCCTCCTCCTCCTCCTCCTCCTCCTCCTCCTCCTCCTCCTCCTTCTCATCCTCCACCTCTTCCTCATTTGCCTCTTCCTATTTGTAATAAAAAGGCAGATAATAGATAAAAATGAGTGAATGCATTTGCCTGTCTTTTCACACTATTTCTGTCTTTTTCTGTCCAAAGATCCAGCTCAACATTCGAGGGGGTCTTGGACTGTCAGTCATCCAGCGCAGCCCACCAGAGGAACTTATCTATGCCAAGTTTACCGATATTGTCTTTGAATACCAGAGTTCCACGCAGCATCACTCTGTGCACTGTAGTGTGAGAGATATTCAGGCAAGTTACTGTACTTTTTTTAAAATCAGATTGGTAAGGAAAAAAATTGTTTGCAGAATGGTTGCAGTTTGCTTTATTATGTGGGTGTTGATTTCTGTAATTTGGTTCTTAAAGATTAGAAGAATAATTTTTAGATTTAACCCTTTTGGTTATATTGACACTCAGTAAGGTTTTATGGCAGTTTCCTATTACTTGGATGCTATCAGTGTTTTAGAGGATGGTTTGCTCATGGGTGACTTTCCAACTTTAGCTGGTACACTGGCTTGAGGAGTACTTTCCTCCCAAAGAATTCTTAGACCTATTACATCCTTCAGATTCAGTATGAATTCTGATGCCCATTTTTTGGCCAGCCTTTTATGCAAAGGATTAAGTGTGTGACTGAATCCTCTGGATTTTTTTTTTTGTTTTTGTTTTTGTTTCAGGAAAGTTATGTAGTCCAGATAAAAAAAATGGAGAGCAAAGAGAATGGTGGAGAGAAAGGGTGTTTTATTTTGCACTTATCTAATCATATGTCATTGATTATTTGAGCTTTCTTGTATAAAAGATTTTAATTTTGGGCTGCACTTTTCAGGTGGACAATCAACTGTTGAATGCTCAGTGTCCTGTTGTGCTCTATGTAACTCCACAAAGCAAGATGGATGAAACACGTCACCTCCCTGCTCTCTATCTCACTGCCCATCAGCTAGTATCATCATGTAGTAATGCTTACATCTTCAAGGTTAGTATTTAACCTCCTACAGCCGAGCATGCCTATAGCTGTCATGAAAACACAATTCATTATGACAGGAATGGCTGGAAGTGTCATGACTCGCTAAAGTGAGTCGAGTGGAAAGTTCTTCTATGCATAGCAGACTCCCAGGCCATAAGGCTAGATGGTTGCTAGTAATCACCAGAATGTGTAACACCCAGAGATTTCTGGTACTGTTATTGTAGGGTTAAGGTTCAACAATTTATTTTCTAATCTTTCATAGTATCAAAATATTAACTACTAAATGATCACATAATCTTGAACAGAACCTGATGGTGACCTTAAAGAACCTCACCCTGACAATAGAAGAAGCCCTACTCTTCAAGTTGTTCCTGATGGCTGGCTACGATCAGTCAGACTCTGAGCTGGAGAAGGTGGAGGAACACCAGTATGACATGCGAAGAATGCTTGCTGCGGCCACCTCAGTCAGTGCAACAAGGTAGAGGGAATGGTGCTTGGAAATGTCTTCCTTCCTATCACCTGCTAAGTTTTTGACTGGATAAACAAACTTTGTTGGTCATTGGTTGTGTATTTATTTATCATACGAAAGGTACATTTCAAATATGTGTATCTGCAGTTTCAGGGCAGGCAGATAAATTATTGGTTGATACCAGTTGGAATTGGAATAAGTCACAGTTAATTAACTTGTGCTTATTTAAACTGTTTTTTCTCTAAAAGTGTAAATTGTAAATTTCGTGTATGAATTTTTTATTATGTTTTGGTATAAACCTTGAGAAGATGCCGCTATATTGCTAGGGAGTTTTTACCTCATAGGAAACAAAAAATACAAACCTGTATTTTTTTATGGGAGGGTAATTCAGATTAAATTACCAGGGAAATGATTGTATCTTTATAGATTCAATTTTTTCACAATGTGTATGTATTGAAGTTGGTCATTGATTTGCTGGTTTTTGGTTCTTTAGTGTGTATGGGGGGATAGAAGATGCTAAAAAAGAACAATTCTATCAGTTAAAAAGGAAAGAAAAAGAAGAAAGATAATGAAGAGCAGAAATTTCTACTAACCTCCCCATAAAAAATGAAAATCAGAAAAGAGGATGTCCCTTTAGCCATTCCTTCATAACAACAGAATGGCAGTGCTTAACAATACCAAAGACTTTTGAAGTATTCCAGTACTGGGGAATTAAGTAGATTGAAATCTAAGGTACTAACATTGTCTTTGTCACGATTTCAGATACTATTTTAGCAGTCTTGAACTTCAGCTTAACCAAGTCAGGCTAAGTGTCCTAACATCGAAAAAACTAAGCCCTGACCTCCAGAATATTAAGCGTAAAATGGGTCTTACCCTTGTCCGCTTTGAGCATGCAAGTGTTAATCTAGAACCCTTCAGGCGATGCCATCCCTTTGAGACCTCGCGATTCTTGTTTGACTGCATCACCAAGCATTACAAGGAGGTAAAGTGTGATTGTTAGGCAGATAGTTTGTTGATGGTGTCTTAACATCCAGTACTGATCTATAAAGGAAGTGATGATTAGTCTTATAAACTGATACATTTTCTCACACTGATAGGCATCAGTTCTCTGCTAATCATTTCATCTGTTTCAGGAGCTGAAATCCCAAGCAATGAGCATTTTAGGATCAACAGACTTCTTAGGTAATCCGTTTGGTTTCTTTGCTGACGTGAGCGAGGGCGTAAGTGAGCTGGTTCACGAAGGCTCTGTTGGTGGTCTTGTGTGGAACGTGACGCATGGCATGGCCAATTCTACTGCCAAGGTGACGGGTAAGCTTTTTGGCCTGCTGCAATATACAAGCTTTTCCTTTTCAGCTGTCGTACTGTGAATTTTACCGTGTTGAGATTTGAGTCTGTAGATATGTCCGATGATCAGCTTTTCTTTGTTTTACTTGAACATATGATTGCAACTGGTTTCTCTGTAGTTCTCACCATCACAGTTGTCACAGGTGGGCTTTTGATATAAGGTAAATGTCAGCACATTTTGTTTCAGGATGTGACACTTATTGCAGCATCTCGTTATAAGGCAGATTAAACTTATAACCTGTGATTAATTCTAGAGGAGATTCAAAGCAAAACTCTTGAGTGAGAAAGACCATGGAGGAAAATCTTACTATTTGTATAAGCATCACTACCTGATGTCTAAAAGATAAGTGCTACTCTGAGCTAAAGGGTAGAACAGATTTGTTAATGGGAAGAAAAAATGGTCATACTCCTTGTAGACTGTCTTTGCAGATATTTAGTTAAGTCACGAAAACTGTAGTACTCGTTTTATATATTTTCTTTTCCAATTTTCATTTAATCTTTCAGGTGATTAGTTATCTTTTACACCTAATCCTCTGCTATTAGGCCTAATAGGTTGCACGCCTGTAATAGTGGAATGTTAGAATCAGTAAGAATAATTCTAATTGGTTCTCAGCTGACAATCTACCTGCCAGAGCAGAGCAGTGGGGTGTTACCTTCAGGTGTGTGATAGCAGTAATTTGTGATTGTGAAACATTTGACAGCAGAAGGTTGAGTGGACTTTTTTTCAAAATTCTTGTTTTTATATTGTAGAGGGTTATTTGTAGTGCCCATTAGTTGTTAATTTTAGTCATTTTTTTCTTTAGTACTTCAAAGATTATTATTAGAAGTAAAGTAATTTATTGTTTTGTCACAAAACACTGAGGAGTTACAGATAGTACGCATCATAACCCACTCATATTTACTGGTGTTTAGGAAGATCTTTTGGTATTAGTGATCTACTATTGTGTTAAGATAAAGAGCTCAGAGTAGTACTTATATAGAATAAAAGAAGTTATTTGTAATACTGACTTCATTGACTGACTTTATGAATAAGTAATAATTTCCTTCATTTCTTTCTCTGTAATGGTACATATGAATTAGAAGTTACCAATACTTAACTTCATGTACTTTGAAAGTGAAATTTAGTTCATGCCAGTTTACTTTTGATTCTGTACTTATTTAAACATTTTTAGATTATTTGATATATACCAAAGTTAAAGTTACATTTTGCTTTTGCCTGGTAATTTTTTTTTATTATAGAAATTAATAGGAGGTTCAGTATATTTTTACACCATTACACTTTTTTTTTCATTTGGACTGGAGACTTTACGAATTTGATTTACAAAATAATCTTGATAATGATGTCTTTTACAAGTTGACAAGACTTATCTCAAGAAAATTATTTGATATATGATCCATGCACACTGCTGATTAGTTGAATGCTAAGGGAGGGAAGGTGTTGATGGTCGTAGAAAGACAGTATATTTATTCCTTGTCCTTCAGGAGAAATTTTCATCATTCAAGAGGCTGTATTTTTGGAAAGCAGAATACCAGATATAAAAAATCTGGCATGAGAGAATGAGTAGTGAAGGATATTAGAAAAGCAAATCATTAAGTATGTATTTTCTTTATAGGCATTTGGTGCACACGTAGAGTTTGCATTGCTGTAATATATCTCATTAGAGTTCATATTTTAAGGAAATAATAGAACCATGTTGATTGTTTTAGTAATGGATCACAAGGTTTGTACAATTGTAAGGATACTGTAAAGTTGATGTGCTACTAACCAATTGTAGTATTTGTGTGTAATAAATGTATTGTTGTATGTTTGCTGATACTCTTAATATGCACTCGTTTTTAAAAGTTTGGCCATGTTTTGCAGTTGTGTGTGTTGTTGTTTTTTTTTTAAGTAGTGTTGGAGTGGTTGTTTATAACCAGCTTTTCCAGTTTGGTAAGTCTGTATAAAAAGAGGCAGGTTGATTCATTAGGATTTTTCAGTAATGCTTTGGTATAGTTTTTATCTTTACGGTAAACAAATTTAGTATAATGCTTGCCAGAATGATTTTTTTGTTTGCTGATCAATGTGATAGAGGTTTTTATTGTTATGGTTAATCTTTGTTTTTTGTTTTAGACTGGAATTTTAGTTATTCATTTACAGTCTGATATCCAAAGTTAGTGAAAATGTTGTAGGTAGGGAATTTTGATATAGATAAGAAAGCATTAATTTAGCTAATTGTATTTTTCAATGTTGAAGACAAGAAAATATATTCTTTTAGTTGTTATTTTTTATCTATTAATTTTCAAGTATTGTAAAATCAAGCTGCCTTCTGTTTTCCTTTTTGTGATTCACCATTTGTGTTTTATGAATATCTTGTTTTGCCCAAGCTTATGTTATCTTCAGGGAATTTTGAAGTTGAAATTAATTGAATGAGGGCTACATATTCTGATCATAAAAAAAAAAAAAAAAATATGAATGAGCCAAAAAGTATTGAATATTATGTTTTTGGGAAAAGAAGAGATAAAAAGGAAGTTGGATAGGAGAATGGAAAAGCTTGAAAGTTCCCTGGAGATTTATTTGCTTCCTTGATTTTTCTTTATTTCTTCGTTCACCTGAGTACCCGTCACCTCTTTTTTATTTGTCTTTTTTTCTTTAGCTTTTTGTGATTTTGAAAATTATTTCAGCAAGCTTTTATTTTGCAATATCTGTTGATTTTTTTTGCCCTTCGTATTCGTCCGTTTCATTTTAAACTCATTTGCTAGCTTTACGTATTTGCTAGATTTACTGTCGGTATATTTTTTTTACTACCAAAGAGATTTTCTGCAAAAGTAGTCTATTTATTTTGTTTTTTGTTTAAGGTTTCCTTTCAAGTTTTTTTGCTTAATCTGTTCTGTTTCATCCCCTCAACCATCCCAACCAGCTACTGAGTGCACGGAAAGCACCCAGTGTGACAGGGTTGCCGTAAATCGCTTTGGCATCTTGTGGGCATATGGAACGAGAGTCGACTTGAATCTTCGTGCTCTTTGCTACGAGTGTTTAATTGAATTATTATTATTTGTGTGTGTGTGTGTGTGTGTGTGTGTGTGTGTGTGTGTGTGTGTGTGTGTGTTGTGTGGGTGTGTATTGTGTGTTTGTTTGTTTGTTTGTTTTTATTTTAGTTGTAGTATGTGGTTTTCAGAAGTTCCTCCAATTATATGACATGGTCACAAAGAGCTGAATGAGGATGTTGCAAATGTTGAGAAATGTTTCTAGAGTCCTTCATGGACTGGTAAGGTTTTAATGAATATAATGGCCATAACATCTCTTTGATATTTATGAATGAGGTCAGAGTTTGTTAATGGAATATATTGGATTGATTCTCAGTTTGCAGTAGAGGAATGCAGTAGATACAGTATTGAAGGATATATTGTATATTTATGCAATGTCAAAGGAGTCGCCAAAGGACATATTAGTGGAAAACCGACTTATTTTGTGTTTTGGAAAATGATGTATATTTCTAGTGAAACTGTGGGACATACAACAGTAGTATATGATGAAATTTTTTTTTTTTAGCAGTTCTGGTAATTATTGTTTGTGAGGTACTTTACCCACTATTTGTAACTATTGAAACTATTAGTCACTATATGTAATCTGCTTTTATTTATGCAGGTGAATAAGATATGGTAGTAATGAAATAACTCAAATTATTATGTAATGAAGTTTATTTATGTTTGCAAATGTAGAAAAGGTACGAATGAGAATGAATATCTTCACAATACAAGATGTATTTCACTAGTGTCGAATATATCTTCATCTTCTGATGAAAATATAATTGAAACCGGTCAAATACATCTCTTGTATTGTGAAGATATTCATTCTCATTCGTACCTTTTCTACATTAGTATGCAATGTTGTGTAGTTTGTAAGTTTTAATGTTCATTGTTAATGTTATTGTACT